AGTCGCGCAACCGCGACTAGAGAGTAAGTAATTCTCGACGATTTAATTTAAGATTAAGACTCAGGTAATTACGCCCCAACTTAGCCCCTCTAGCTAAAGAATAAATAGAATTATAATAAGGATTAATATAAATAAAATAAAGACTTTTCAGCAGATCCTTCAACTATATCTTAAGAGACTTATTTCTATATATCCTATTTTTATAAATCATACTATTTATGATGAATAAACTGTAAAAACACGAAAATGGAAAAACTACAGAATATTTGGAGCAACAAATAAATGGAGCAAATGTTAACTCTTTGCCACTGCACATTTTAGGAATTTTAACTTCTCTAAATAGCCTGCGTAACAGTTGCAGTTGAGCTGCATAATGCGGATGGGGCATTGCCCTGGTTAGCTTCAAGCTACCCCTAATCTGGATTGTAGTACAAAATGAAAACCAGGCCAGTTGTTGGCCACAGAGCCACATGCTCATCCATCCACGCACAGTATGAAAATTGCGCTAATTTAACACCTGGTAACTGGCGTACTGGGGTTGCTGGAGAGTGGGCGGAAGGGGTGGGAGGGGGGTCAGCACGACGGCAGCCAAGTGGAAGTGGATTAGAAGAGTGCCATAAAATGGCGACACCAAATGCTAGCGATCTAATTCAACGGCAGGCGGTGCGCAGGAACTGTAGTGAGGACAACTCCTTTGGGATGCACAACGAACACACACACACACACGCTCACACACACACAAACAGAGGCAAGCCAAGTGAATCAAAAAGTCATTTATGCGTATGTTGTTGGCTGTTAGGCTGGCTCCTTGGCGAACCAGTTTGTCCGGTCTCGGTTTGCAGTGCCCCCCTATGCCCATAGAGTCGACGCTCCTTTTACCATTCCCCTGGCCAATCGTAATGACAAATGTGCACGCCCACCGCCCACTTTGTCGCTGGTTTGACTGTATGTGTGCGTGTGACAAATAGTTACAGGCAGAACGCACAGATGAGGACGCATCTCTAGAGCGCGTGTAACCCTTTTGCCTGGGCAGGATTCAAGGATTGTCGCGCCTTTTGTTGCCCCATTATGCGGCGGGTTTGTTGTAGGGTGAGATGACATTTTAGTTTTGTTTTAATGTTCCCATTTGGTTGGCTTTTTATGAGTTTATTACCAAGCAAAGTAAATGATGCGGCGATGCGACGGCTCTTTATGCGGATCTGGCGGATCTGTAAATGTGCGGATCTGCGCTGTGCAACCCTTGCCGAACTCTTCCTCCGGATTGTGTGAAATTATATGAAATATATCGCATTTCGTTATCGTGTAGCATTTGCCTGTGGCCCAGCCCCGACCCCGACCCCGGCCCCGTCTTCGTTCCCGTCCCCGCTGGACTGCACATGTGTTACCTTCAAGCTTCGCCGTCTCCAGCCTCAGCGGCTTTGTGTTGTTTAATTAATTATGTAAACATAACTTTTGTCGAACCCTTTTTTTGCAACCCCAAATTTTACCCCTGCCCCTAGCACAACGCGCCGACAGTTTTTGTGGTGCCTTTTTCGTCGCGCATTTATGGAAATTAATTTGCAACTGAAATTGAAACCAAATTCGAGTCCGAGCCCGCAATACAGCTCCCGTCAATTTACATAGACACATATATATGTATATATATATATATATGTATACACCTCAATTGATAAATTAAGAGATTAACAACCGCCGCCGTAACCAACATGGGTCAAATCCAAATGGTGCAAATTGAAACCCTTTAGCTAAATAGGCGTTCCTAATGTTTGTATGTCTTACGCGTTGAAGGTGACAAGCGTTTTTCCTGTTTCCTGTTTAGTGTTGATTTTCGTTTATCATTATGTTTTTTTTTTTAATTTTTATTTTTCACATTTTTTTAATGTGAGTTGACATTTTCACAAGCTGGATACCATGCATCTGGAACAAGCCTCAGTTCTGCCAATGATTCAAGAGGTTGACGAAAAACGTTGTCGCTGATTCAGCTTTAAGCGCTCCTGTTGGAGTTTGGTTATCCACATCTATAAATCCTGGTTTTGATTTAAACCTTATTCCGTTTTTTTTTTACAACTGCCCCTTCTACTAAACATATTGCGGGCCCTTGGAGTTTGTCAAAAAAAAACTCGTCGGTTAAATTTCATCTTTAACCAAAATTAACATCGATAAAATATGGTTAGTTGACTCAAATGGTTGCTGCTGAGGCTCTAAAAGTTATCAGATTAGATTTATTGTATATGAAAAATATTGCTAAGAATTTGTCCTTCCATTTTATATTTTATTGGCTTATAGCTATTTTTCTCGTATGAGTAAACCATTATTGATCAGATCGAGAAAATCTTGATTTCTCCTAAAACCAATTTTGTTTCCTTTGTACTTATATGTTTTTTGTTGAATTTATAAAAAGTACAATTTTTTGCACAAGGCTTAGATGAGCATGCATTATAAATATGTATGCACTATTATTTCATTTTATTTTTTAAAGTTCTGTTAAAATAATTGATGATTCAACAAACTTATCTCCAAGTGAATATTAATTATTTGCATGTTTTATTTGAGATAAATGTGTGCCTACACTTGCCGGGTAATTTGTTGATATTCCTATAATTTTGTATTTTATTCTGGGAACACAACTCTCTATGGAAACAACAAATAGAAGAGGCGAGGAGCAAGTAGGCTATTGAATTGCCCAAAAGCCAAATTGATTGCCAGACTTCTGCGAAGCAAATAGCAAAGGTTGCAAGCAGGGCTGAGGCTGCAGTTGACGTGCTGTTGAAAAATTGCCAGCTAGCCACAAAAGTTTTACGATGCCACACAAAAGGCGCAGAGGCAAACAAATGAGGCAAGGCAACCACTGCGGGGCAACATATCAGAGCTCAACCGATTGACGCATATTTGTATAACATTGCGACAAAAGGACATCGAGGCCGCGACTGAGAATGGGATTGGGATTTGTATTGGTATTGTTATTGGCAATGGAAATGGAAATGGGCTAAGAACATGCTCTAGATGCCTGGCCTAATAACCAATATTTACATTTTCGAACTGGCCAAACAATGGCCCAGCGTTTGCATATTTGCATAGCCAGGACAGACTGAAAATATAGATCAACGGCCACGGCCAAAGGACAACCGGCCAGCGAAAGGCACAAGGGCTGCGCGAGGAGTTAAGAGAAGGTAGATTTTCAAAGATTTCACCAGAAAATTTGTCATTAAGCAAATGCAATAGAATGTCGCGGCCAAGCCAGCCCACACAATTAGAGCGAGAGAAAATAAAGCGTATGTGAGATAGTGAGAGAGAGAGAGAGAGAGAGATTGAGAGATGGAGAAAGAGGCAGTGATAAAACCCGCTCGCCTCTTTCATTACTCACTTACTGCGCAACTTTATATAATGCCCAGTTACCGTACAAGTTGCCTATCCCTATCCCAAATTCCGGGTTGCTGTGTTCCGGGGAAAGCGACCAGCGCAGCGGGTGAAATTGGGAAATGTAAAATGGGAAATGCTCTAGTTTTGGATTGCATCATAAAACCGAACACTGAAACTAGTCGAAAGGGCGGTCGTAAACGTCTTGCGACGACGCAATGTTGTGGACATGCCTTCTCCGAAAATCCTTTATGCAAATGCGTCGAAAGGTTGACGTGACCTTGGGTTACCTTCCCATTGTTTTACAGGGACGAATCGATTGCCAACCCAGTTTTCCATATGCAATTTCACAAAAATATGCTTTCCTTACCCAAGTTTTTTGCTGTCTTGCATTTTCCGCCCACCCAGCTACCGCGTCAACCCGTTATAGTTTCCGTTATGCGTTTCATTCGCACTCCGATGATTATATCCATTAGCAGGCACGACAAATCACGCAACGCCCCATCAGCCGGGCATTGTGCGCGTTGTCCTGGCTGAATGATAATGCAATATGTTGCATGATTTATGCTTGCTGCAGATTCACCAGCCAACTGGGAGGAGAGTGAGAGAGGCAGAGAGAAGGGGTTAAAGAGAGGAGACCCAAACTAAAAAGAGTCCTTGCACCCTTTTGCGGTAATATATATATATATATATATATATATATATATACATATTCATTTATATATACTTATGTATATAATTTTTTTGGCAACAGCTTTGTTCAGTCTGTGCTTCTCCTGTTGCAATTTCCTCCCGCCCTTCCGCCCACCCACCCGGCCGTTCCCGTTGCGACAAATATTAACTTCAATAAATTTGACGCACACAGTCCAAATTATGAGTCAATGGCAGGGCAACGGGAGATGTTAGACGGGCCAGATGAGTCTAAAAAAGGGTTCGGCATTGGCTTCACTTCAAACATTTAATAATCAATGCCCCGCGCACCCCTGAAACAGCCCTGGCAGGGAGCCAACCCTCAGCCTTGCCCGTAGCCGTGGCCGGCCCTGCTCAATTGCTTTGTCATGTTCACAAGTTGTCGTACAGGGTGTTGATGTTGTACTGAAAAATTAAGCACTAGGTATAATGAAATCTGAACGATATATAAAAAATATAATAATAAAAGGTCAGTTAAGTCGGTTAGGAGTGAGCAGCAGCGAGCGTGGATAATAAGACAAAAACGGGAGGTACTCTTTGTGTTAAATAGACGGGCGAAAATTGAGTGTGAAGGATTAAAATGAGTTTATTGGATGCTTACTCCCTTGAGGGATGTGTGCGAGGATATCATAATAGCACAGAGGGAACTTTAGGAGAAATGTTAAATAGAACACAAATATTGTCCGCTTGAGATAAGTGTAAGAGAATTTGGAAGTACGAAAATGGGAGACATTACAAATTATAGAATATGACTTATTATTGCGTTTGCTCTTAATGATTCTTAATTAAGGCATTGTACACAATATAATTCTAAATATATAATGTTATGGCAACAGAAATTGAAATTGGTGTTGAGTCTTTTCATTGGTTAATACGTAAATAAACAATATGCAGAACATAAAGTATCTGCTCTTATTATTAGCATAGAATATAGTTATAAGTTGTTGATCTACCTTTGTCATTAGGGGACTCGAACCCTGATCTTCGTTGTTCCATTTGAGCAGCAATGCATCAATGTTGATTATATTCCCAATGTAAAGAGGCTCACTTAAACAATGAAAAGAAAAAGCGTAAAATGTATAATAATTAAACAATATAATTTTAGCATTAAATATTAAAACACAACAATATGTTAACTTTATTCTCAATCATGATATGTTATTGGCCGTACGAAATCTGATGTTGCCAAAGTGCGCTTGTAGACTATAATAGGTTTAACAGCTATGTGATTATACCATTGCCCGCCAGATTGTTGTGAAGGCTTAGTAAAATAAATATTACAAGAAATGCAGATTTATGCATTTTTATCTATTTTTACACCCTGAACTCATTGAATTTGTTGAAATAAAAAGGGCATGATAGTTTTGTTCATATGTATGTAACAGGCAGACGTAGGTTTATTATGTTTACACTACATTATTTGTATATATTCTTGCTGAGTGTCTAGAGTGCAGTCGATTTAGCCAAGGCCTTCGGTCTGACTATTAGAGCCAGATAAATGTTAAACTAAGGTCCGCCTAGTGTACAAAAAGCTTTAGTTTATTTAAATGATTGATAAATTGATAATAATCGATATCTACATCCTGTTTTATAACATAAAAAAAACGCTTGAAATGTAGAATATCTAGGAGTATACACGGACCCAAAATATTCCACTTTTTGGCTAGCTTAGGGGCTTTTGGGGCTTTGTCTTACGCCTTGGTATTTACTCACATTTGTGTACCTTATGAACGCCCCGAAATGTTTATAAAGATCGGACAATAGACACCGAAGTTCTTCAAGAACATACTTCGCATATTGTGGGAAAGCATAGGAAGAAGCAGCACAGCCGCAGCTTCACCAAGGTGTGTCTGTGTGTATGCCTGTATTTATGTATACCTGTATATGTGCGGGATATCTCCTAGTCAGGCACTGCCGACTAGAGCACTGCAATTTGTTTTCTTTATTTTTTGCAATTTTTTATACATTGAGGCTGAAAATAAAATGCATATGAGAAGCTGAAACGGAAACGGGCAACCGGTGGCAGATTTGTTGTTTCCAAAGGGAATTGCAAATATTCTAAATTGCATTTTTTGCCTAAGCGCGCGTGCACGCACACTCACACGTACACCTACACACACAAACACACACACACACACACATACTTGCATCAAGTGTTGAGTGAAAGGATTTAAAAACAAAAATGTGTGAAGCTTAAACAAAAATCAAAACAAAACACAAATAGACAGATATAAACTCGCAAATGTTTCGCTATGTGTGTGTGTGTGTGTATGCTTGTGTGCGTGCTTGCCTTTTATTTTGCTATTTATTTATTTTACCAGACACGCGAGTTTATTTTTATGGTTTTAAAATGATTTTTAACCCTGCAGGCGCGCGCTTTGCACAATACCTACACTACAGTAAACCGTCTCGACCGTTCGGCCGCCCGTTAACCCCGTAGCCCCCGCCGAACCCACACACCCATACACACACACACACACCTCAACTGGCGTACTAGTATGTACAGTGCTTAACCGGAAACGGATGCGAATTGCATGCGTCACGTGACACACGAGCGCATGTCGACGTCGACATCGATGTTGTTGTCGAGCGTTAAGCTTTTAGCGGCCATACTCGCTTCTCGTTACCCGTTACCCGTTACCCGGTGCCCCATGGCCGCATGCCGCACGCCGCACGCCGCACGCCGTATGCCCCATGGCCCATGGGCATCCTTTTAGCTACCAACCATGCAGCTTCAGTGCGACTGATGCATTTTTATTTACTTTTCTGCCAAATGGCAAACTTCACAACACGTTCGCATTTCGGTATTCAGTATTGATTATGCAGGTTGTTGTTGCAAATCTCTGCAACAGCATCGACGACAACAACAGCAACAGCAGCAACAACAGCAAGAACTGGAACCAACAACAACGTCAACTGTAAACTCAATAAATCTAAATTGCGCACAAAAATAATTGAATCACTAAACCATGAACGGCAAAAAGTATAGAGCCCCATTTTTCCCAGTACCGTTATTTTCTATACAATTTGTACATGGACAATATATATATATAGATATATCTATGGATGTGTATCCGCGCATATATGTTGTCTTTATCCCTTTTTTATTTCAGTTTTGCTATTGGCTTAGCATTTATTTTTTTCTGAATATGTGTTGCCGATTTTGGGCAGCTTTTCACAGGTCGCTGCGCTACTTGGTGTCATCGATTTGGGGCTTAACCTGGCCCAGCACCTGCCCAATGCCTGCAGGCGGGAGTGTTGGCCACCTGATGTCATAACAATTGTCGCAATTATAAATATATTTATCAAATATTTTAAATATGTAAGTAAGTTATTGCATTTTAAAAGGTGTAAAATATTAAAAGATGACATTTACGATGATTCATGTTAGAACTTGGATGCTGATTTCTCTCAGGTATATAGAATATAACTAAGTATAACTATACTACAACTTTTAAGAATTTGGTAGCTCTTAAATAAATTCCCAATGGATTTTGATCTTTTGCAGTGGGTTCCTCAATTGGCGAACATACATTTCCAAATTTTTTGCAAGTCCCTTCTTTGTTTCTTTATTATTTTGAAAATTTGCCAATTAATTCATCAATTTATTTGAGAGGCCTGTTGATATTTTGGACTAGATTCGGGCTTGTCGAAACTTGTATTAGTAAATATCATTCACTAAGAAAAATGAACTCAACTGAATATAACTTATATTGCATATATTTTTAAGAAAAGAATTGAAAATGCATTAAAAAGAATAAAGAAAGAGATATTGTTTTTCCAATAACTTTTCTAAGCTCAGCAATTACGGGCTTGATCATGTTCCGATCATATAAGCAAAAATATAAATATGATCGGAACAAAGTTTATAAACGTGTTTTACTTCTTAGCAATGAAATCTTTGTGCTACAACCCATATTCACGTATGCATATTTAATACTTATTTATATAAAATCTTAAAAATAGCAAATTAAAAAATGCGAACTAGAATAATTTTAATGCGAAAATCAAATAGAAGGCGATGAAAGCTGCGGCAAACAACCCGCACAGTTGTGAGGCAACCAACCCGTTGCAAGCTGAACCCGTCTGATCCATTCTGATCTAATCTGATCCGATCCGCGACTCAGCGCGGCGAAAGTGTAACAAACTGAAAACATAATTTGCATCTTGTGTTAAAATTAAAAAATATAAATATGTGTGTGTTAAAAAAAGGCAGCCCAGAAAGGAGTAAATAAATAAATAAATCCTACTTAATGTCACAATCAATCCGTGGCAGGACAATGGGTCAGGAGCCCGGTCGGGTTGGTTACAAAACTTGCATAAGGGACGCACAAGACGGGGCAGGGGCAGGCACTGTGACGGGAACGGGGCTGGGGCAGGCAAGGGCTAAAGTTGCTGAAATCTGAACCCCTATTAGCGCGCATTTAACTGTTCATTTGAAAGTTTTATTTGGCGCGCTGATGCGTTAAATCAGCACAACAACAACAAGGACAACAACGAGGACGACGACGAGGACGAGGCAAGCGGCAGGCGGCAGGCAACGTGGCACTGACTGACAAGCTGGCATGGCCTCAGCTGCTGCTGCTGCTGCCTCAATCGCAGCCTCAGTCGCTGTCTCCGTCTCTGCTCACGGCCAGGAGCCAGTGACATGTATAATTTTAATCCAGCTGTAACATAAGTTTTTGATTTGACAAATCCTCGAAGCGCAGTTTCGGGCTGTTTCGCCCGCCGACAATACGAAACTATTTGACAGAAATTGAAATGTTGTTTTGTGGCCATGCCAACGTCAATCGAGGGTGGACTCCAGGACACACACATACGCACGCATAGTGGATATTTTTGGGAGTAAACGGCATGTGCTGATGATGCGCACCAGGATCACGGCCACGGCCACGGCCACAGGCACGGGGACGGGCTCGGCCTCAGCCTCGGCCAGGGTTATTTAAATTGCGCTTGAAGCTCATACGCAAATATTCAGCCAAAGGGTGGCCCACACCCTGAATTCGCTGGCTACAAAAGCGAAAAAAGGGGGTTGCTTCATAAATATCTCAACATTAACATTAATTGCACTCCATGTCCTCGATGTCCTCTTGTGTGGGCCCACAAGAGCGGCATCCTGAGAAATCGAACGGCTGCTCCCAGGCCTGCCCTGGCCTGGTCGGCCCGATTGCCCAAGCTGTGCCGTTTCTCCTTAGCATTTCGCGCTCGTATTCGCATTTCCATGCCCATTCCCCTGGCACTTGCCCCCTTATTTTGGATTTCGCTTGGGCTTGTTTTATTTTATTTCATTCTCTTTTTTTGTTGAGGGTGCCGCATTGGCCACAAAACGCAGCCACCGTTCTCGATAGCTGGTCCAAGAACCCTGCTTTGATGTGATCTCTGTGCATGTTCTCGTGGTTGTTAGTTTGGCCTGCTCCGGCATTGTGGCATTATTTTAATAATGAAGCCACTGCCGCCGCCCGCTCGCATTCTTCTTTTAGCCGACTGCCGCATCCATTTCCTCCACCACCCCCACAGCCGCCACAGGCCGATGGGCTTTTCAATTTTTTTTGCGCCCACTGACAAAGCACGCGGAATGGCATGAGCCACAGCTGCGTCCGAATCAGCATCAGCATCAGAGTCCGAGTCCTCGTCTGCCCTTGCCCTTTCCTGAGTGGTGGGCACAAACTAATAAGTTGACGCATTAATTGGCTTACAGGCATTCCCCGCATAGCTCACTCTGCGCCAGACCGACAGACCGACGGCTCCGCAGTTGACTCCCGGCCCTGACACAAAGCCAGTCAAACGGAGGTCGCTTCTATTGATTTGCTGCCTTATGAATGAACATGGCTTTGGTATAGAGCGTGGACTAATAAGGCTAAGGCCAGCTACGTTTGCGTGTTAATATAATACTTTTATTAAATAAGAAATTGACATATTGGTAAAATCAAATAACATATCTCAGTTTACAGCCCAAATAGCCAAGGCCCCATTCGCTGGTGATAAAAATACTAGAATCTCAGAAAATACGTGTATTTATTAAGAGTAGTAGTAGTAGCCGTGT